GCATGAAACCCAGGGTCACAAACTCACATCAATCCAACCAAATATGTTAGCTCTATCTCTGATATTGAACGCTTTCTAATAAGTACCCCGCATATAATATATAAATAATTATATATATATATATATTTATTTTATATTTATATTCACACACACACACACACACACACACACACACACACACACACACACACACACATATATATATATATATATATATATATATATATATATATATATATATAAGTGCGCAGGTATACAGAAAATAGAAAAGAACACGTTGGGTGCATAATCCGGAGTTCCTTAGTATTTTTGTTTTTATTTTTAAGACAGTGCTCCATACAGAATTAGAGCTTCATTATAATAATATTTTTTTAAAAATATTATTATTATATAGATAGATAGATAGATAGATAGATAGACACAGTGAAGGCGTGACAAAAGTTGCGCAATCCACGGATATTTTATCAAATTATATATGGAATCTTTATTTACTACTTAATTAACATGTGCTGTTCAAAATGTCTACCTTCTTTTTCAAAACAAAATTAAATTCTGTGCCTGTATGGTTCATTAACACGTCGGAGAGTTTCCTGCATTCTGAATTTTTCTGCATTCATAATTAATTCTTTCTTTACGTTTCTCAATATTTCTTAGTCGCCTCTGATAAACAGTTCAGTTATGTGCCATGCGTTGTACACGCTTAGGCGATTATGTATCTTTTTATACATGTCTGACGAGATAGATTTTTCCCGTAGTAGACCAGTTGTCATCTAAGGCTATAGAACCCGGCCTCTCCTGCTATTTACCCATAGCTGGTGTGAGATGAAGAGGATTGATATCTTTCCCAAGACTATTATCACGTTGATGGATTCGACTGAAATTCGAACTCGACTCTCCGGTTCCTCAATCCGAACTGCTATCCATTACTCCACCGTGCCTCCAAAGTGAGAAACAACTGATTTCAAATAAAACTTCAAATAAAACTTCAAGGGACCTATCAAAACAAATTAGACACTTAAAACATGATTATTGTTACACTCGAAACGGGACCTATATAAATATAAATTATATATATATATAAATTAATTTAATTGTGAAAGGTTTGCAGTTAGCATGATTTAATTAGACACTTCATTTTTTTTTTATTTTATTTTAAGCAGTGAATATTACGTCTATCGTCTTGCCCATTCGAGAAAGACAAGATATTCTTCGGTACAGTTCAAAGCTGCCTCACCTTTTCTACGAGAAATCACCGTTTGATCCGGCTTGATTTAGGCCATTCACCCACAGCGACCTAAAAGACTTGCGAGCTTCTATTTTACCGTTTAAGTAAAGCATTTTTCTCAATTCAATCCAACTTTTTCTCATTTTTGCAGAACCTTCATTGCATCCAAAACACGATCTCTTTCGGGACTGAAGACGATCCAAAACCATCTCTTTCGGATGAAGCTAGATGCTAGGTCATTCCCTATAGCATTGCAGAACCTTCATTGAACATTGTGTCAAGAATCTATAGATACATATCAGAGTCACGATATCATATGTGGCTATAATATTCAAAATATGAACGACATGTTTGCTTATAAGGGTGCAAGGTAGATTTGGTCCATAGCTTCTCATTTTTGCATCCAAAACCATCTCTTTCGGGACTGAAGCCGAGATGCTAGGTCATTCCCTATAGCATTGCAGAACCTTCATTGGATATTTTGTCAAGAATCTCTAGATACATATCAGAGTCACGATATCAGATATGGCTATAATCTTCAAAATAGGAACTTGTTTGCTTATAATGGTACAAGGTAGATTGGGTTGAGAAAAATTGAGGGAACCGTCACTTTTAACAACAGACTTAGTATTTTTGTTTGTTTGGTTAGTTTAACTGCATATCAACACTTTATGTCCCATTTAATGCAGAAATTTTATTTTTGGGGGTCTTTGGTAAGTTTTGTTCTCACTATGAAAATCCTGGAATTTTACTATAAAATTGTATTTTCATACTTTCTTAGCGGTTTTGATTCCAGTTTCGGCGTTTACTATTTGTCCAAAGCTGGGACCCTAACCGGTGGAACCACCAAGGGTCAATGTCGACCTGGGAACGACAGCAGTTAGCAGTTCTTCTGAGACCCCCACGATCAGAGGCATTGCTCCTAGTTGTACAAGTTGTCGCCCCTACTTCCCTTCCAAACTGCAGGAGCTCATGTCAGCCATCTGAAATAGAAAATTATATTATCTAGGGGTGACAAGCCTTTCGGACCTCCCTGTAGTTTATTGACATACCCAGGACGGGACTTAGCATTTGACACGGTATAATCATTCCAATTCATATTAGTGGAAAACTTTAGACTGAGAAGCAATGAATTATTTTCGTAAGCATTTTGAATCTAATGTTTGATCAGCTCATTGGATTAGCAATGAAAGTGCTTCGAAAGTTAAGTATAAAAACTGAAACTCAAAAAGAATCACGTAAATTTTATATTGCTACTCAAAACTTGGATTCCCTCGGCACTTTTTTGTTCGATATCATAATCTCAATGAAAATAATTTCGAATGCAAGGTCTTTAAAAAATGAAATCAAAACTTAATATATATTTTACTGACACGAAATTATAGCTATTACCTAATTATAAATTTATCCGTCAAAATACCAAGAGTTAATCACTTACCGAGTATCGAACCTGCTTTGTTTTATTTTCAAATTACATCTTTTCAGCACAGAAGCTAAGTTAAGCTTGGTTCAAAATATTTTAAATAAACATTATATTTTCTGATTTTCTTAAAATAAGTTTTGAAAAAATGATAATAGATATTTAAAAGAATTTCAAGGTGAGATTTTCATTTTTTTATAAAATGGGAAAAAATGGTTGACATCTGTCAATTTTGCTGACAAAAAAAAACAAGATTTTTAACGAAAATTTTGGACGTGCTAGAAACGATTAAAAATGTAAAAAATACCCCCAAAATATTTGATCTTTCCTCTTGATAATAACATAAACATTTAGACGATAAAATTTTGTTTTCGTCAAGTTTGGCATGTTTTTCATCATGCTATGCTCTTTTTTTTCGGGGAGGTACCTAATCTAAGGATACTTGTATTTTATATAGCTGTATTTTTATAAATAAAAGAAAGGGGCTGATAAAGAAAGACTTAGTGTTTTAGGTGTAGACGTCATGGCTCCCTAAGCTAGTACATGTCTCCTGAAAGGGGCGCCGCTTAAAAGAAGCTTCACTAAGTACGTATATTAAAATCAGACAATTTTTTAAAGATGTCTGAGATCCAGGGACGCATTGGGATGACCAAAGATGCATTCCAAAACCTAAGCAGAATATTAAGCGACGGAAAAGCCTCGTTAGAAAGAAAGAAAAGAGTATTGAACTGTTTCGTGTTATATGTCCTCCTATATGGCAGTGAATGTTGGACGATCTCCTCAAAGATGAAGAGACCTGAAGCAACATAAACGTCGTCCTACAGAAGGTACTATGGACCGAACATGTGAGTAACGAAAAGGTTTTAGAGAAAATGGAAGCAAAAGGAAGCATACTTAACATCAATAAGAGACAATGTGAAATTCTGGGGAACGTAATGAGGAAACAAGACTTAAAAAATCTGATAATCAGCGGACATATTGAAAAAAAGATTGACCTAGGAAAGCAGCATATAATATACTTGATGGGCTTTAGTAAATGGATGGCAGAACAGGATTTTGGAGAAACAGCAAAAAGACAAAAACTTATTAAGAAATCCAAGGGACAGGAAGATGAGGAGGAACATAAAAACCTAAGTCATACTGCGCATAAAAGAAGAGGATTACACTTTGATTATCAACAGTGAGAGACACACTTATAGGCAGAGTGTTAAAGTATTTGAATAAATTATTAGGTACAAAATACATGAGTCACGGCAAACCCCTAGTGTAGAAGGAGAAAAAAGGCGAAATTTGAGTACATCAAGAAACAATTTTCATCAATGAAAACAAGGAAGATTAAGTTATTGTTATCACATAGATTCATGATTTCTTAACTATAAGATCACCGAACTTTGCATATTTAAGTCGATATTTATATTAGATAGCTTTATTATAATAAAGTTACCTGGAAAAAATAAGCCACTGTATAACATTTCTAGCCAATGTTTGAATACGCTCCTGTTAAATTAAAGCTACAGATATTATATTTTATAGCTCCTTACCTCTAAAACATTAATCTGAAAATATCAATATATGACGTTGCTTCATTCTACATATATAAATATCCAAACCAACTCACCGTTGTGGATTTCAGATAGCTAAACCAATCGAAAATAAAAAATAAAATAAACTTAAAAAGAATATTCTCCTATACCGTCTGCTACTTCCAGATTGTGACTTCATAAAAGAATAATAATTCAAACGGAGTAAATAAGAAAACTATAAATAAAAAAGGGAAAATAATGAGGGAAGGGCGAAAGAAAAGATGGAAGGGAGGAAGGAAAATAAAGAAAGAAGACAAGGAAAAGAAAGAAGAAATAAACGAAAAAGAGAAAAGGAATGGAAAAAACAACAAGAACAAATGAAGGATTGAAGCAATGAGTGAATGAATGACAGAATGAAGGAGAAAAAGTAATATAATGAAAAAAAGAAAGGAAGAAAGAAGGAAAGAACAGCGCAAAGGAAAAATCTTAAAGAATAAATGAATAAAATAAATAGAAAATAAAAATAAATCAAGATAAAGAAGGAAAGTATAAAAATAAAAATAAAAATATTGAATAATTTTTAAGGAATGAAGAAATTCAAACAACAAAGAATAAAGCAAAAAAAAAAAAACTCAAAAAGAATATTTTCTCTGTACCTTCTGTTACCCCCTAGAGTGTAACTCCTATAAAACTGACCAAGCAAGACGTTGCTCAACTTACCGAAAGTGAAGAAACGAAGGGGACAGACCGAAGGACTATCAAATTGCACACAACTCACACAATCAACGTAAATCAAAGCTAAAAGCACACATTTCGACCCAGACGATCGTCATTATGTTGACTTCCCGCTTTGGTAAAGGCGTACAGCGGAGAAACGGTGAGCTGAGCTGAGTTCAACAGAGACTTGGGTTGGTTGGGTGCGAGATGTAAAGGACAAGGTTTGATCAATATTGATTTCGCCTCGGGATTGCGGCATTGTCGGCGGATGGTTGCTGAAAAAGGTTTCAATCAGATCGAACAAATAAGGCGTCTGTAACAACAGGATTCTAGAGACATGGCTGTTGCCAGGGCAACAGGTTGACGTCAAAGAATGAGCACTGGACATTAAGGCTTTGCGTTCAAGGGAAGAGAAGTGTAGAGAATGAGTGAAAAAGAAAGAAAGAAAAAAAGAAAGAAAGAAAGAATGGAGGGAAAGAATGTGAGAAAGAAAGAAAGAAAGAAAGAAAGAAAGAAAGAAAGAAAGAAAGAAAGAAAAAAGAAAGAAAGAAAGAAAGAAAAAAGAAAGAAAGAAAGAAAGAAAGAAAGAAAGAAAAAGAAAGAAAGAAAGAAAGAAAGAAAAAAGAAAGAAAGAAAGAAAGAAAGGAAAAAGAAAGAAAGGAAAAAAAAATGTGTGAAAGAAAGAAAAAAAAAAGAATGGAGGGAAAGAATGTATGAAACGAAAGAAAAAGAAAGAAAGGAAGAAAGAAAGAAAGAAAAGAAAAGAAAGAAAGAAAGAAAGAAAGAAAGAAAGAAAGAAAAAAAAAAAAGAATGGAGGGAAAGAATGTGAGAAAGAAAGAAAGAAAGAAAGAAAGAAAGAAAGAAAGAAAGAACGGAGGGAAAGAAAGAAAGAAAGAAAGAAAAAAAAAGAATGGAGGGAAAGAATGTGAGAAAGAAAGAAAGAAAAAAAAGAACGGAGCGAAAAGAAAGAAAGGATGGAGGAAAAGAATGTATGAAAGAAAGAAAAAAAAAAGGATGGAGGGGATGAATGTGAGAAAGAAAGAAAGAAAAGAAAGAAAGGATGCGAGAAAAAAGAAAGAAACAAAAGAAAGAAAGAAAACAAACAAACAAACAAACAAACAAACAAACAAACAATGAAAAAGGAAATGAAAAAGGAAATGAAAGAAGAAATGCGAGAAAGAAAGATTCGGAAAAAGAACGAGGGGGAAAAGAAAGAAAGCAGCAATGAATGAAAAAATAAAAAATGAATGTGAAAACAACCAGAACGAATAAAGTAGTGAAGGAATGAATGAAAGAAAGAAGGAATATAATGGAAAAAAGAAAGGAAGAAAGAAATGTGATAAAGAAAATCTTAAAGAATAAATGAATAAAATAAAAGTAGAATAGAAAAAAACTCAAGATAAAGACTGAAAGAATATAAACGAAACATTATCGAAGAATTTTAATGAATGAAGAAATTAAAAGAAGAAAGGATAAAGCGAAAATATAAAACAAGAGAAACGCGAGAAAGAATGTCTAAATTTAGTGAAGAAGTAAATGAAATAGAAAAGAGAATCGAGTAGAAAAAAGAAAGAAATCGTGAAAGTAAAAATAGGAATGAAGGAAATTCTACAAACAGAAAGAGAACTAATGAATAAATGAAAATTCTTAAAAATAAAAAATAAATGAATGAAAAAGAAAGTAAATAAAAAATAGGAAAAAAAATAAAGCAAAAAAAAAGAGACACTGCAAAGACGGAATGAAATTAGAATAAAATATCAGAAAGAATAAAAGAACAGAAAAAAGGAAAAAAAAGAAATAAGGAATGGATGAATTAATTAAAAAAGAAGGTAATTGAAAAACAGAAAATCATAAGTGAAACAAAAATAATGGAAGATAAAGAAAATAAAGAAAAGAAAAGAGAAAGAGAATGAAAAAGATAAGAAGAAAAGAGTAGAGAATAGAATAAGAATATAAAAAAAATAAGAAATAAAGTAAACAAAAAGAAGGAAAGGGTGAAAGTAATATAAAAAAAAAACGAACTCCCAAAAATAGTTAATAAAAGACAAATGATAGAACGCTAAGTTTAGTCAACATCTACAAGAACGAAATGATAAGTAAATTATGAAACCTAGACAGCGAAAAGTAAGCAACAAAAATCAAAGAAGTTATAGGCAATAAAAATCGATTAAAGCGGAAAGTGCAGAGATTAAACAGAATGAATAAATAAATTTTTTAAAAAAAGACTAAAGATTGAAAATAAGAAATAAATCCGGGGCAATTAATGAGAAAAAGAAAGTGAATTTATTAACGGACACTTAAGAAAGAAAGATCGTAATGGAAATAAAAAAAATTAGTATCAGGGAATAAAAAAAAAAATACGATAGAAATTAATTTCGCCATAAAATAAAATCGGAAACTCTACAGACTAACTGAGTCATAAAATGCAAGCAAAAGCGTGAATTTAAAAAAAAATTAAATAATTGAGAACCAAAGAAATTTGAGAGAACAAATACAAAAATAAGTGTTAGAACTGATTTAGTTCTTTCTCTGTTATCAGTGGTGATATTTTCATTATGTTTGATACTAAATCTTCCTTTCCAAAGATAATGTAACATTTGACACTATTAAAGAATTAATACCTTTCTTTCCTTTTCTATCTCAACTGAAAATATTATTGCATATAAAACTGCCAAATGGGTATTACCTTTTCTGCTTTTTAGATAATAAATCTGAAGCAAATAATTTTCATATGACCTTACACACCCCTATTGGCAACGAATGAATATCTCACCGACGCTATACGAAGTGTGGTTCGCTGCAGTATGCCTGGCATAGTGGGTATTAGCTGTGTACGGTAGAACTGGTGGGAGCTCTCCTTCCGGAAGATACTCTCCCCAACCTGATTCTTCCGGAGGGTTTGCAGAGGAGGAGAAGTGATTTTTCCCGTTGGAATAGGTCTTGCAGTTGTAGTACCTGTCCCGTCTTCTCTGCTCCGCTGCGCTCGCCCCTATCCCACCACGTTGCGTAACATCTGTTACGTAGCGTTGGTATGACCGGCTATGACTAGCTTAGACAAGCTCTGACCAGCTTAGGCAAGGTAAGAGCAGCTTAGACCAGAGTGGCCCGAGTGGAAACACTCGGGTCCTCACGTTAAAAACCGACCTTGTGTCACAGCCTGAGTCAGTGAGGGTTTAAGGTTAATCTCGGACGTTAGAACTGGTGGGACCAATTAATGTAGTTTGTTTGAACACTTTCTGTTGGAATGGAATATCTAAAGACCAACGAGAAGCTTGTTATATTTCTTCTGTAAGAAATGTGTTGTAGGGTGGAAAATGATTAATTACCTACAAGGACGGGGAGATGCTTTTAAACACCATCAAGACTGGAAAGTGAAGACTGGGCAGATAAAATGTATCCCACATAACACTCCGTATTTTGTTTTGTTTTATAAATATTGTTAAACTTGACGTACATATTTTCATTTCCCTTATCTTCCGTTTCTTATGTGCCTAAGCTTGGTTTCAAAAGATTCACGTACAACAATTATTCGGTAACTTTGAAGAAGCAAACCCATCTCAAGATACTATCACAGTCATTATTTTCAAAGGATTAATCTAAATTCACGATAGATTTGCCGATAATCAGCTCATGCTGTAAGCAAATCGCTTTTTAGACTCGAAATATTTTTCTTAGCAAGTATTGACATAGTAAGCCACTATTAAATTTCTGCCATTTTGGAGCACTCGTGAGTTAAGACATTGAATACCCTCTTCTCGAGTGATTTGCTTTGGTTTGATTTGCGGCATATCAAACTCAATGAGTTACTTAATGTCGACAAGATTTTTATTTTCCAAAAATGTATTGCTGCTAATATTGTTTCTTCAAATATGTATTGCTGCTAATATTTTTTTTCTTTAAAAATATATTGCTGGTAATAATCTTTTACACAAATGTATTGCTGGTATTAAAACCTATTTTTACACTTTTATAGTGTTTGGCCCTCCAGTTTGGGGGTCAACTATATGCCCATAGCTGGGATCCTAACAGGTTCTACCACACCGGGTCAGCGTGGAACTGGGAACACCAGCAAATAAAAGGTAGCTTCACGCTCCTCAAAACCTCCTGATCAGAGACCTTGCTGCCGGATGTAGTTTATCGTCATACACAGGGTGCCTTCTCGAGTGACCAGGAAATAATGATAAAACGCAAGTGTGTGGTGTATATTATATTATTATTATCGTCTCTTCCGCCATTTTTAAGTAGGAGGGTCTAGCTCTTCAGTTCTTACAACTGAACAGCCAAACTATTCGCACATATGATTCAATATTAATGGCGAAGGTTTGTGCAGAACCAACTACAGTTTTCAGAAGAAATGAATAAAGATAAAGAACTGGTTCACATAACTATCACAGGGGCTCGAAACGACTCTCCTCAGGCTTTGAATTAAAAGTTTTTCTTCTCTTAAACTGGTTGACAACCAAGGCTAAATTAGTCAGTTTGCGATAATATTGACACATATCTTTGAGATAGATACACCCCTGGTAAAAATCTTAAGACGAGATACAAAAGGGTTTAAAAAATATAAAATACTGTTACTGTTATTAATAAATAAATTATTTTTTGTGGTTGGGCATAAAGATAAGACCATGTGAAAAAAAAAACAAATTACTGGACAAAAATTTTAGAACTAGTCAGTGTGCTCATATCTTCAGGCGTGTAGACATCTACGTAGCTCATTTCCAGTATTAAATTTCAGATTTAAAAATAGCTAAGGGTAAAATTTTAACAAGGTTCGAACAGAGCAGGATTGTTGGGCTTCAAAGACGTGGTCTTTCGCCACGGGCCATTGCAAATGAAAATTGCCGTAGCAGAACTGTCATTGCTATCTTCATTAAAAATCCGGATGTGTATGCTTCTAAAAAGTCAAGCGGTCGCCCCAATAAAATTTCACCATCACTAGACAGACGCATTAGACGAGAAGATAAGAGAAATTGAAGCCTAACATCAAATCAAATAAAAGCGAATACAGATGCTGGATGCAGCTCTCGAACAATTCGACGGCATTTAAATATGAAATGGTTTAAGAACTTGAAACGGCTGCAGAAGCCTCAACTTCTTCTTCGCCATAAAACCTCTCGTTTACAATTTGCTTCCGATTATCGAACTTGGGATGTAGATAAATGGAAGAAAGTGTTGTTTTCAGACGATAAAAAATTCAATCATGATGGCCCAGACGGTTTTCAGCGTTACTGGCATACAAAAGATGTCCCAAAATAAGTTTTCTCAACACGACACAGTGGAGGTGGATCAATTATGGTCTGGGGTTCATTTTCGTACAATGGAACGAGGTAAAAGGTCGTCAAACAGCTGCTAGTTACATTGACCTGTTAAGAAAGGCATCGCTAATTACTGAAGGCCCTCAACTATGTGAAGAAAACTGAATTTTCCAGGAGAACAATGCTGCAATCTACAACGCTCTCCAGATTGAAAACCAATCGAGAATGTTTGTGAATGGATGACGAAGGATGTTTATAAACATGGATCGCAATTTGAAACTGTGCTGCAGTTTATGCATCCTGGGCGAGCATCCCAAGTACACTCAGGCAGAAGTTAATAATGCCAAAACGAATTTTCGGATGAATTTTCGGAATTAAATTGTCGTTGAAAAAATGGAAACAAAAAAATCCTTTTTTCAATGTTTGTTTAAATACTTAAAAGCTTAAAATATTCACTTGATGAATTTTTCTAATTAAATATAAATATTTCAAATATATTTTGATTGTCGTTGACCAGGTGAAATAACTTATTTGCCTATAAGTCCTGTAACGAACTATTTTTCTCCCATTTTATTTCCGCAGGGTCTTATCTTTATGACCAAACAAAAAATATATATATATTTTTAAATAAATGCAATATTTATTTAAATTAATATATATATATATATACAATTAAAAAAACTTAAAAAATATTCTCGCAAACGATTGTTTGATGATAAACTGCCGTATTGTTGTTATTTTTACATTTTCTAATTAAATATAAATATTTCTTGGTTTTTTTCTCTTAAATATATTTTGATTAAAATGTTATTTGTTTTTGAACGCGCCAAAGCAACGCTGAGTTTGATTTTTTTTTATAAAATGTCCGTCTTTTTTTGGATCAATATTTTTACAATTGCCTTTTGTATGAACAAATTTTTACTCTGCTCTATAAGATTTTGAATGTCGCACTTAGGGATGTGTAAATAACTTAATTTGCCTATAAGTTTAAATGTATCCATCTCGCAAACGATTCAAATAGTACACAAAAACTCGAGATCCGTTATGCATGAAATATAAATTTCTGTCGTAACTTTAAATCCATTCTTAGTTTTGTATGAATAATTCATTTTTGTAAATTGATTGCATTTATTGTAATTTAAATATCTCCATGTGCGACTTTTTGTTAATAAGTCGACATTACTGTAATTATTGAACAATATAGTTCATGCCACTTTGACAGTAAAAAATTTATTTTGTTCATTACCATCTTTTAAAAAATTCAAAAATCAAACTCAGCGTTGCTTTGGCGCGTTCAAAAACAAATAACATTTTTAATAGCATTTCGGATACAATATTTTTCGATAATTATATTATATATATATATATATATAAAAATTAATACGGCAGAAATTTATATAAATAAATGCATTGTTTATATATATATATATATATATATTTTGTATATATATATTTGTAAATTGATTGCATATTAATATATATATATATATATTATATATATATATATATATATATTATATATATATATATATATATATATATATTATATTATATATATATATATATATTATATATATATATATATATATATATATATATATATATATATATATATATATATATATATATATATATATAAAAAAAAAAAAAGTTTTCGTGTGACGCGATTTGTCCTTTAGAGTTCATCAGACTAAATTTGCTATGTTGGTGCGACTACACATCCGCATCAACAGGAGACGCTGGGTATTATATATATATCTATATATTGCTAAATAATCTAGCCGATTTTATTTACTCCGATAAACGCCTCACACGAACATTTTTTTTTCTCTTTGTCATGCATATTTTCCCTATTATTGTTCTTGATAGATAGAAATGTATATATCTTTATCTCGTTAGCCTACTTAATTCTTATTATATTTTGCAAATGTCAGCAGGCGTAAGAATTCGATACATGCTTTTCCTTTTAACAGTTACATCTGACGAAACATTGTATCGATTCCAATTCCAATTGCAGCTATCTTCGAGGGTGGGCTGAAAAGTTCATCTGCTGACTATTCAGGAGTGAATCTAGAGCGGTCAAATATTGCATTCATTAATTTCACTTCTTTTTTTAAATAAATGCATTATTTATTTCGAGGTAAACAGACATCTAACTTTTCAAAGAAGACTTTAAAAGCAACTAGTAGCGTCTTCATTTGAAAAATAACAAACTTTGGCATCGTGGTTTTGTCAATTAAGTAAAGGGTTTAGCCCACAAGAACACTCATGTTAACATGGTTACTACATTAGGGAATGACGCCCCAGCTTCATCAATATAGCAAAATTAGGCAGATAAATTAAGGAAAAAAGGTGAGAGTTTCACTATGACTCATGATCTGAACGTCCTACACTTGTCATCAACGAGGAAAACAGTGATCGTATTCACCACACGTTGATCGATAACAGCCAATGTTGTTAGTATATCCCGTGAGGGAATTAAGAATATTCTGCGCATTGAACTTGGCATGACGAAGGTTTCTGCTCGGTGGGTGCCACGTCTTCTGATGCCTAATCAAAAGCGCACCAGGATGATCACTTCACATGAAAATTTGACATTGTTTGAGGGAGATAAAGCTGGTTTCCTTGAGCGTTTACTAACCCAGGATAAGTGTTAAGTTAATGATTTTGAGACAAAGATAATCTACGCAGTGGAAACACTCCTCCTCACGTGCTCCAAAGAAGGCTAATGTCTTTTCATCTGCAGAGAAGGGCATTGTCTTTATTGACTATATTCAAAACAGCCACATCGTGGTGTTATCAAGTAGTTGCAGAAAAAGGCTTCAGCATCCAAAGAAAGTCATGCTTGCTACATAAGGGGATGATGCCAATCCAAATTTATCAAGAATGCAAAAGTGAGCAGCTAAATTTAGGAGCGTCTTGAAGATGACTCAATGTCTAGATATTCTGCTACTACCACCACTAAAGAAAAATTGACTTTGTTCTCCATATGGTAATGGATGATAGGCGATTGACTACAAATCAAAAAACCAATGGTATTAGCATAGCCAGTGAGAGAGTTAAGAATATTATGCACAATGAAGTTGGCATGATGATGGTTTCTGCTTGGTTGGGTGCCACGTCTTCTGACGCCTGATCAAAAGCCCACCAGGCTGATCTGAAAATCTGATATTGTTTGAGGCAGATCTTTGGACGTTTCCTAACCCAGGTTGAGTGGTCGGTTCATCACTTTCAGCCAGACACGAAGAAACAATACATTCAGTGGAAAAACCGATCCTCACATGCTCCAAAGATTGCCAAGGTTGTTTCATCCACAGGGAAGGCGACGGCCTCGGTTTTTTAGGATGCAAAAAGCATTGTGTCCTTTGACTATCTTCAGAATACGCCATCAATGGAGAGTACTATGCTAACTTGCTGAGGCACTTACAAAATGCTATCAAGTCGAAACGCCTAGGAAAACTGATGAGAAGCGTCTTGTTTCATGGGGACAGTGCTCCAGTATACAGGTCGTTGGATTCAATGGATAACGTGCGTAACTGTGTCTAGTTGATCACCCTCTATTTGACTATCATCAGTTCCCTAACTTGAAAAACACTTGGCCTGGTACAGGTGTAGCAATGATCATGATGTCATATCTGCAGGATGAAGTCTTCTTTGAACAGACTCTCGCTGCTCAGTGTTGACTGCTGTTTTCCAATTTTATATTTATATACACTGATATTGGAACAGTTTTAGCCATAAATAGAGCAGATCCTAAAATGACATTCTATCATAAATACATATTATGTATAGTACTTTTTTAGTGATATATATTGAATAAAAACTGCATGCAACAAATTACTTTTCTACGAAAGATTATAGATACTGTCTGAATTTTGATGCTCTAAACTTAAATAAATAAAGACAAAAAAAAACCTTTCCTGATGCTGGGACAATGATTTTAGTTGTGTTCAAGTACTGACGACGCCACTTGTCTGTGAAGCCGATATGAAATATAAGGAATATTGACGAGTTTTAGCAATGGATGAATGCGGAAAAGACAACATGTCTACATGAACACAGATCTTGAAAATGACCAGAACTCAAACAAAAAAAGCACTCAACTACCAGCAATATATTTAGATAGATAGATAGATAGATAGATAGATAGATAGATAGATAGATAGATAGATAGTGTGGATCCAGCAATCAAGACTGCATGTTTACTGTCACTCTATAATGCGATCTGCAAGCCTATCTAAAAACTGTATTTTATGCGAAAAAGCTCTCTCTCTGACACTGAACACTCTTCCCTTGAAAATAAAAGCATATATATATAATATAACTGACAACTGACATCCATTAGAATTGACACGTGGAACTAGAAGAGTCTACCCCAGTGAGCGAAATAAAGGGTTCAGTCCGACATTCCAACCACCTGAAGAAGGCCGGAGCGAACAACTGCCGAAACGTTGTAATAAATATGGCGACAAAGATGAGGACAATAGTCCGAATAATGTAAATAGTTTACATCCTTTAATCAACACATTAAGGTGCAATCTTATCTACAATTTAATGTATGATGTTCGATCTCATTATTTTAGTCTTCTGACCACCCATAGTGTGTCTGTTTTATGTGTAACACCTACATACTTTCATATGATCCAAGGACAAAATTGACCGGACTCAGCGACCACTTTCACGTTGATGCTGATATTTGATCTTGTGATTAATAAGGAAATGTTAGTTTAAGGAGATTGCTAAAGGAAAATTTCACTGAAAAATAAACATTTCCTCTGTTAAATAAACGTGTTTTCCTCATTATGTCACGGAATTATTGATGTGTCTACGCATCGGTCAAAATAATTTGAATTAAACCAATCCGTACGCTAAACAAAATATTAAGAAATAGAAAGAATTTGTTAGAAATAGAAAATTCTACTGAAATACTGTTATCAATCTTTTTAAATGATAGTGAATGTTAGACAGTTACGTCATAGATGAAGAGGAGACTTGATACAACAGACATGTGGTGCTACAGGGAAATGGTTAGTGCGCTACAGACGGAACATGTTGACGTTTTAAAGGCAATGAACACAGATAAACACATGCTATTAGGGTTATTATAATATTACGAGCTTATAATAATCCCAATAATATTAGAATATTATGAGCCTATCATAATAATCCCAATAATATTAGAATATTATGAGCCTATCATAATAATCCCAATAATATTAGAATATTATGAGCCTATCATAATAATCTCAATACCATTACAAAATTATGAGCCTATCATAATAATCCCAATACCATTACAATATTATGAGCCTATCATAATAATCCCAATAATATTAGAATATTATGAGCCTATCATAATAATCCCAATAATATTAGAATATTATGAGCCTATCATAATAATCCCAATAATATTAGAATATTATGAGCCTATCATAATAATCCCAATAACATTACAATATTATGAGCCTATCATAATAATCCCAATAACATTAGAACATTATGAGCTTATCATAATAATCCCAATAATATTAGAATATTATGAGCCTATCATAATAATCCCAATAATATTAGAATATTATGAGCCTATCATAATAATTCCAATAACATTACAATATTATGAGCTTATCATAATAATCCCAATCGATCTGGGTATGTCGATAAAATACACCCAGCAGCAAGACCTCTAATTAAGAGGTTTTGCGGAGTGTGTAACCACCTCTTAATTGCTGTTGTTCCCATGTCCACCCTGACCCAGAGTGGTAGCACCTGTTCGGGGCCCACCTATGGGTAAACAGTGAAAATCCAAACTGGGGTCAAAACATTATGAAAGTATAAAAATACATTTGTGTGTGTGTGTGTGTGTTTTAATTACCAAAGCTTCCAACATAATTAAATTACGGCATTAAATGACCCATAAGGAGTTGATATGCCGTTAAACGAACCAAACCATAATAATCCGAATAACTACAGCAAAAGTAGGCAAATAATCCTATCTACCAACTCTATAATAAACACCATTGAAAATAACTTACCACCCGATTCAGCAAAACCACTTCTAAAGCAATACAAGATATAGTTACCGCCAAACGGGATAGCAACAAGAGAAGAGAGGAAGAAATGTAGAAAATATATTGTGCAACATGCCCACTGATTTACATCAGTGAAACATCCAGAAACTTCGAAAAATCCGATATGAGTATAGCAGAGATATTCTGCATGACAACACTTTAAATGCATTGGCAGTTCTGTTGAACGCATCTGATCACAATTTTAACTTAAATAAATGTCAATCTGATCAGGAGGGAAAAGGAATCACTAAGAAGAAAACGTATTGAGAGTGCGCTAATCTCACAATTTCCGGCAGTAAACCACAGGATAAATCAGGACCACACATATCACCGAGCATCGGAAAAGTTATAGTAGCATAGTATGGCATACGAACTCATAGATAAAAGACAGAGAACTACTGAGAGCGGTCTGATTTAAAATACAGCAAAAACCAATGGCTCTAATATGCATATTAAAGAATAACATTTTTTCTCCTCAGAGTCCATCTTGCCCATTTATAAATTCACCATTCTTCCATATATTGAATACTGCTACTATATCTTGTCTGGTGCTTCTGCTATACATCTCTATGTTCTTGACAAAATCCAAAGAAGGATTTGCAATATAATCGAACTTGACTTAGTCTCTCGACTTAAGTTACTTTCTCACCAACATGACGTAGCCTCCCTCTACATTTCTATAATACAATTACCAATAATACATTTTCATAGTAAAAATACCAGCAATATAATTTTATAAAAAATTGCGAATGCAATTTTATAGTGAAATTACTAGGAATACACTTAAAAAAATTACCAAAGTAGTGAAATTACCAGCAATGGATTAAAAGAAATACAAGGAATTCGATTTTTTGTTTTGAAATTACAGCAAGGAATTAAAAAAATTACCAACAATCCTTTTTTTTTATAAAAATTTACCAATATAATTGTGTAGTAAAATTTCCAGCATTATATTAAAAAATAATGCCAAAGACACATTTCCAAGCTATGTATCTTAAGAAACATGTCTACTCTGAAAGCATAAAATTATTTACAAATATCTGTAGTTGAAGGCATACAGTTGTGCACAAAATATTTATATTTCAGCATTAGATAACCGATTGAGGTAGATATGCCACTAAACAAAATCAACCAACAAACAATCTTTAAAAATATTCTTAAGGAGTTTGAATAGTTTAGTCTAAATGTAATATCATCTCAGCCTATTTAAGTGCTTATATATCTAGGGTAATTTTTCATTTATCTTCTTTTTTTAAAGAAAAATTGACTTTATCGATAAAAACAGAAAATAACCTGAAGGCGAGCAATTTAATGTCGATCAAAAACAATTTTAAATCGAGATTCCATTTTCACTTCTAAAACAACAAATTACAAAGTGACAATTTCTTGAAAAGCGAATAAAACGAGTTTCTCTGTTGTTTTTGTTGTTGTTGGTTTTCTCCTTTTTTTTAAAGAGTTTCTTCATTTGATATTTTAAAGATTTATTTTTTGAAAAACTTCAATCTCAGGTTGTTTTCCAGATCAAACGAACACAAGTGTTTTGTTTTGCTTTAAACTCTCTTCATTTTTCCTCCTTCAAAGAGGCACAATTAATTGCGAATATTCTACGCGAAATCTTTTCATCTGTCATTCTATGAATAGAAAAATAACAATATTCTTTGAGCGTCTGGCGACACGATTACGGAAAACTTCATCATAGAAGTTTAACATCAAATTACGGCTCAATGAATGCATTAACAAAGGCTGACGTAAAAGATTTCAGATTCAATCCATCACAGAGGTCTTATTCAAAGTAGTTAGCAAAGGCTGCAAAAATTATATATTTTCTTTTTATATACCTTACTGAAAAAAATGTATGCACATTAGTAATTTCTTAAGAAGTAATGGATTTTCAAATTATTAATCCGACAAATTTTTATCACTTAATCATTATTTTTAGTGGACACCCATATTTGAATAGAAGGTCTGTTCTTTTTTTTTTTTTTAATTTTTAAACGGTATATTTCTTATCGCTTACTGGCCTGATTATTCAAAACATCTTATTAAAGAAATATATGCTGAGTCGCTATAAGCATGTGGGATCTAACGACGGTTTCTCCTGCCAAGGGGGATGCACATTCACTGCCTGAGAGCGCCTATTTTTCTTTAATAAGATTTCTTGAATATACGTTTTTTGCTTCTTCTTTTTAACAATATATTCATTATCGTCTATCCGTTTAAATATAAAAGAACTCTTATTAAAGACAAATATACTTTGTGACTGGGTAGGTATAAGCACGTTGGATCTGACGATGGTTTCTCCTACCAAGGAAGAATGTTCTGGGTATGACGATAAACTACATTCAACAGTAAGGCTTCTGATCAGGAGATTTTGAAGAGCGTGGAACCACCTCTTAATTGCTGGTGTTCCCAGGTCCACCTGTTAGGGTTCCAGGTATGGGAAAATAGTTAACCCCGAAATTGGGGTAAAAATCATTATGAAAGTGTATAAATAGGTTTTAATAACAGGAATACTCTGTAAAAAAATTATTACCAGAAATAAAATTTTGAAGAAAAAAAAATATTACCAGCAATCCGTTTTTGAAAAAAAAAAAATACCAGCAATATATTTTTTAAAATAATATTACCAGCTATACATTTTTGAGGAAAAAATATTACCTGAAATAGATTTTTGACAAAACAAAATATTACCAGGAAAAAAAATGTCGGCATTAAATAACCTAATGAGGTCGATATACCGTAAAACAAAACAAAACAAACCTATCAAGGAGGTTTGTATTCTGCTGGAGAATTTATGTTTTTGTTTAATAAGATTTATCGAATTTGTGGCACCATGCATACCGACGAGCTGAAAAGAAATATTCATAGATATATGATTTGTTTTTTACGGTTTATCAACCATTTAATAATTATTTAGGGCCAAAAAAATATTTCGGGTTTTAAGAATAATTCTTTCTTTACATTCAAGCGATCTGGGAGAAAGAAAGAGAAAACGAAGAAGAAAGAAAGAAAACATAATACGAAAACAGGTCATAAGCGAGTACGCACGGGCACGGCTGACAGATACCAGATGTCGAAAAATATCAGGTCAAGCACCTGACCTACTTCGTGTCCACGAAAAATGGA